TAATTCTGAGATTTTGAAGAGTGGTGAACTTAGGGAATTAAAGTTGGAAACACTAGAAGTTGTGGCGATGAACAAGAATCTGGTGCAAGATGGATTTCAAGAGAACGTTAACAAGAGATTTGATGTTGATGGTAATGTTGAGAAGAGTAAAAAATTTGTAAGTATCACAACAAATTACTCTGCACACCAGGTGTTCGGTAAAATGTCTCAACATAAAGAAAAGCTGGGAACAAAGAAGAAAACAAAAGGGTTTAAATCTTGGATGTTCAAATACAAATCTGCTAAAGGAAACATAAGGAAACGAGACAATCAAGGATGGCAAAATTTGAGAAAGAAAATGTTTCAAAGACTTGGTGGTTTAAGCTCCAAAAACATGTTATGCAAGAAGATGTCCAACAGATCCTATTGGCTTCTCTACATATGAGTGCTATTGAAACAGGATATGCTATAGGCGAATATGGTGAGATGTTCACATTGGCGAGGGCTATTAGCATGAGAAGTACGCTTGGTTTAATGTTTGAGATAAAAGTGAGTGCTGGACGTCATGGTCAACAAGCTGTGTATGAGCTGATTGTAATGGTGTATGAGCTGTTGTTGCAAACTAGTTTGGTTATTCAGCAGGTGATGAGAAACATAAAGATCAAGTTTTCCAAGCGGTGGTGGTTCAAGTACAAATCTGTGAAAGAAGGTATGAAGAGACTACACATTGAGTTGAGTTATAAGTGCAAGTTGGAATTTGAAGATTGGTTTAAAATTTGGAACAGCAGAGATTGGCTTAAGTACAAGACTATGCCACTTCAAGTAATTTCAAATTTGAAATTGTTTGTATGGATTAGAACTGAATCACAAGAGGCTCTAAGAAGGTACTCCTTGCAATGGAAGATATAGAAACTGAAATGTTCCAAATCCTGGAAATTTAAGTTTAAGAACAGGGACTTGAGAACTTCTAAAGGGTCTCTTCTCCTCTTTAACTCTGCACTTGTGGACATACAAATCTATTTTTCTGTGGCATTGTTGGAAAATGAAGTTCAAGCTATGCTTGAGTCGTCTCATTGATCTGCTGCAAAGGGAAGTGTTGAATCACTCAACAGATCAGATCGTGATTAGGTGCCAGATTACGAAAAATAGAAGAACATTTCAGAGCTTGGCGATGAAAATGCACACATATATGCAGTTGTTTGGTAGCAATAGTTGTGTTTCAACTTTGAGAAAGAGTAAGTTAGGTAAAGATTGGTGGTTTAAATACAAGACAGCCGCAATGGCTAAAGATTTACTGGTGATGAAGTTGTCACAAGCTCGCGATTCAAGTCGGCTCATCGCTACTTTTATCCAAAGAAGAAGGCAAGAACGGGGCTTGGAGATTTGGTAAAAGGAATGCTATGATTCTAATGGAAAAGGCTGCATGCGAGTTACTCTATGAACTGGCAATGAAGTTTCCATGAACCTTGAGGTCAAGGTTCTCTGAAGAGGGGAGATTTGTTATAGGGAAAATAAAGAGTAGCTGACGTGGAAGAATAGAGGAAGATGATTGGTGGAGGCGTGAATGATGCGTTGGCAGCTGACGTGGAGATGAATTGGAGCTACATAGAGAATCATCGATCATTTGCAAAACATAACCAGAGAAATCATTTTTAGTTGTATCTCTTCTTCTTCTTCTTAGTTTGTTCTGAGATTATGGTGTTGTACTCATCTAGATCGAGATCTCTCCGTTAGATCTTCGTCATTTGAGATATCGACTCGCGTTTTATGAACGTTAGTTCGATTTTGGTTCCGGTTACGATTTGAATTGAAGCATTGGTGGTTTTTCTTTATCAGTTAGGTATACACAAGTGGTTGAAGCTAAAAATTGTTTACTGTTGGAAGACATGGATGATGAAGCCATTACCGAATTGATGATCCTCTAATTTCTTGGGTAATAACTAAAATAGGACTATTAGCATGAGAAGTACGCTTGGTTTAATGTTTGAGATAAAAGTGAGTGATGGACGTCATGGTCAACAAGCTGTGTATGAGCTGATTGTAATGGTGTATGAGCTGTTGTTGCAAACTAGTTTGGTTATTCAGCAGGTGATGAGAAACATAAAGATCAAGTTTTCCAAGCGGTGGTGGTTCAAGTACAAATCTGTGAAAGAAGGTATGAAGAGACTACACATTGAGTTGAGTTATAAGTGCAAGTTGGAATTTGAAGATTGGTTTAAAATTTGGAACAGCAGAGATTGGCTTAAGTACAAGACTATGCCACTTCAAGTAATTTCAAATTTGAAATTGTTTGTATGGATTAGAACTGAATCACAAGAGGCTCTAAGAAGGTACTCCTTGCAATGGAAGATATAGAAACTGAAATGTTCCAAATCCTGGAAATTTAAGTTTAAGAACAGGGACTTGAGAACTTCTAAAGGGTCTCTTCTCCTCTTTAACTCTGCACTTGTGGACATACAAATCTATTTTCCTGTGGCATTGTTGGAAAATGAAGTTCAAGCTATGCTTGAGTCGTCTCATTGATCTGCTGCAAAGGGAAGTGTTGAATCACTCAACAGATCAGATCGTGATTAGGTGCCAGATTACGAAAAATAAAAGAACATTTCAGAGCTTGGCGATGAAAATGCACACATATATGCAGTTGTTTGGTAGCAATAGTTGTGTTTCAACTTTGAGAAAGAGTAAGTTAGGTAAAGATTGGTGGTTTAAATACAAGACAGCCGCAATGGCTAAAGATTTACTGGTGATGAAGTTGTCACAAGCTCGCGATTCAAGTCGGCTCATCGCTACTTTTATCCAAAGAAGAAGGCAAGAACGGGGCTTGGAGATTTGGTAAAAGGAATGCTATGATTCTAATGGAAAAGGCTGCATGAGAGTTACTCTATGAACTGGCAATGAAGTTTCCATGAACCTTGAGGTCAAGGTTCTCTGAAGAGGGGAGATTTGTTATAGGGAAAATAAAGAGTAGCTGACGTGGAAGAATAGAGGAAGATGATTGGTGGAGGCGTGAATGATGCGTTGGCAGCTGACGTGGAGATGAATTGGAGCTACATAGAGAATCATCGATCATTTGCAAAACATAACCAGAGAAATCATTTTTAGTTGTATCTCTTCTTCTTCTTCTTAGTTTGTTCTGAGATTATGGTGTTGTACTCATCTAGATCGAGATCTCTCCGTTAGATCTTCGTCATTTGAGATATCGACTCGCGTTTTATGAACGTTAGTTCGATTTTGGTTCCGGTTACGATTTGAATTGAAGCATTGGTGGTTTTTCTTTATCAGTTAGGTATACACAAGTGGTTGAAGCTAAAAATTGTTTACTGTTGGAAGACATGGATGATGAAGCCATTACCGAATTGATGATCCTCTAATTTCTTGGGTAATAACTAAAGTAGGAAAAAAATGTGTGGCTGCTGGGATTCGAGCCCAGGTCCCCACGGCCACAACGTGGGATACTAACCGCTATACTACAGCCACTTTTGTTCTACAGTCTTCAAAGTTTTTATATATGTCAAGTAAACATTGACTCTTCGCTAAGTTCGCTTGTATTTTTCTGTTAAGACCGTTACTATAAGATCTATTCTATTCAATCATTCTCTTTTGAAAGATCTTTAAGGTTTAAATTGGTGATTAAGTAAATCATTAACTCTCTGCCTCTCCCACTTCCCCCACTAAAAACAACATTTAATCACCAATTTAAACCTTAAAGATCTTTCAAAACCAAAGTATTATAAATTGCAACAACTCTTGCAAGTCCTCATCATCATCATCATCATCATCACACAACACAAATCCAAAAAAAAAAAAAAAAATGGCTTCTAACACAAGTTTCCTCTTTGTCACCGTCACTCTTCTCCTTGCCCTCAACGTCTCTGGCCGAACACTCCCGGTGGTGGCGGATTCCACCAACATTGCGGCAAGGCTTACCGGAGGAGGATTGATGCAGTGTTGGGATGCACTCTACGAGCTGAAATCATGCACTAATGAGATCGTTCTCTTCTTTCTCAACGGTGAGACCAAACTCGGCTCAGGTTGCTGCAACGCTGTTGACGTCATAACCACTGATTGTTGGCCGGCGATGCTTACTTCTCTTGGCTTTACATCTGAGGAAACAAACGTCCTCCGTGGTTTCTGCCAGTCTCCGACTTCCGGCGGTTCTTCTCCGGCTCCTTCCCCTGCCGAAGTTTGATAAATTTTTATGGTTATAATATATAGTTTTCTATGGTATGATGAGAACATGTATGTTCACTGATTTAAAGTTTGGAATAAAAGCGTTTGTGTTTGGGATTACCATTGCGTTTATACAAGGATAAGATCCACTGAATTGGAATAGCTTAGAACCATTATCAGAACAAAACCAAATTTTGTTAAGTATCAGAGCATAGTGGTTTTGTTAAGTATCAGAGCATAGTGGTTTTGTTAAGTATCAGAGCATAGTAAACTGCAAAAATAATAAACCTAAGAGAAGTAACTTGTCCAAGAAGATACTTAATTTATGCCTTTTTGCAGTCTATCTTATAAGCTCTGAATTTAGAACAATTATCATAGTTTGTAAGACACAAAATGTGCAAATAACAGAGAAACTAGAAAACTTGAGAATACACATCCTTTTATATTTGTATTGGAGATTGTGAAAATTTGACCATATGTTTTAAGTTCCTAAAAAATACATGTTCTATATAATGGTTGTAGACTGTAATTTGAGTATTTGACCATATGTTTAATGATGGATAGTTACACATTGACAACACTATAGCATCTTATTTAGATTATAACAAGAAAAAATTTATATGAAAACCATAATTTGACCATATGTTTAATGATGGATAGTTACACATCAAGTCATCAACAACACTATAATGTATTTGTAACATATTTTGAAAGTTACTAAAAATAGCATAAAGTTCAATGAGTAGTGAAAACCATAGCGTAAAGTTCAAATGACTTATAACAAAATCATTCGTTCATCACCTTCTGTAACACGACGTTAAACCTTCGTCTCCTATAGGACCGTTACTCATTCAACAAGCCAATATTTAATACGTTTCCACTAGCTATCAAATGCTTTAAAGTTTCATGTTTAAGTGAAACCATTTACCGTCAATCCTTTCCCATTCCTCCCACTAATCCACCTTTTAATTACTCTTAAATCACCACTAAGCTTCAAATCCATCCAAAACCACACTATAAAAACAGAACTCTCGTAACTCAATCATCACAACACAACAAAACCCCAAAATAGAGAATAATGGCTTCGTACACAAGTTTCCTCGTTGCCATCGTCGCTCTTCTCCTCGTGCTCAATATCTCCGGCAGAACTCTCCCGGAGACGGCAGATTCCACCAACATAGCGGCACGGCTCAACGGAGGAGGATTAATGGAGTGTTGGAACGCACTGTACGAGCTCAAATCATGCACAAACGAAATCGTTCTGTTCTTCCTCAACGGCGAGACCAAACTCGGCGTCGATTGCTGTCAAGCCGTCGAAGTCATCACCACTGATTGTTGGCCGGCGATGTTAACTTCTCTTGGCTTTACCTCTGATGAAACCAACGTTCTTCGCGCCTTCTGTCAATCTCCAAATTCCGGTGGTTCTTCGCCGGCGCCTTCCTCGGTGAAACTTTGATTTATGCAAACTCCAATAATGGTTATAATATATAGTTTTTAAATGATATAATTGGCATGTCCCTTTGGATTTTTCTGTGTGACTAAAACGGCGTTTATACCAGGACAAAGATTAAGAACCATCAAACTGGAATAATAATATTTAGAACAAAAAAAGGTTTGTCAAGAAACAGAGCATAGTAAGAACAGACAAAGTTTCTCAAACAAGTAACTTGTAAAACAAGTATGTAGTAGATTCATGTTTTTGCAAAACCCTAATAAAAGTCTTAGTTTCATTGCTTTTAAACAATTAACAGACAAAAACAGGAAACGGAGCATAGAAAGAAAAGACAAGTAACAAGTCCTACAAGAAAACGGATTCATGATTTTGTAACCATCCTCAAGATTCAAGAAAACCTCAGAATCTAGACGTGATCGAGACTTCATGGTCGACATGATCCTCTAAATTCTCAGCTGATGAGTCAGTGACTAAAGAGTTGGCCACATCGATCACGAACCGGTACCTGACATCAGATTTAGCCAAACGGTCCATAGCAGAGTTGATATCACTCATTTTTATGAGCTCAATATCCGAAACGATATTATGCTTGGCACAGAACTCAAGCATCTCTTGTGTCTCCTTCATCCCTCCAATCTGACTTCCTCCCACCATGTTCCTTCCTATAACAAAACACGAAAAACCCTAACAGTTACTTCCACAACACGTAAAACATAGATTCACAGCTTATAACAAAGGGTTATCATCAGTTCTTTTACCGAGAACTAGAGGGAAGATTGGTAGCTCGAGTGGCTTCTCCGGTAAGCCTAAAGCCACAAGCTTTCCACTCACTTTCAGCAAACTAAACAATGGTAATAGAGCATGTTCTGCTGATACCGTATCGATAATGAAATCTATAGTTCCTGTTGCATCCTTCATCTTTTGAGAATCCGTTGTAACAAGAAACGAATCAGCACCGAGTCGATCAATTGCTTCCCTCTCTTTCTCTGATGACCTACTCATCACAGTAACTCTTAAACCAAAGGCTTTACCAATCTTCACAGCGATATGACCAAGTCCACCAAGTCCATTCACACCTAAATGTTTCCCTGATTCTTCAGCCATACCATAATATTTCATTGGACTGTACACAGTGATTCCAGCACAGAGCAGCGGCGCGCCTGCATCGCTTGGTAAACCATCGGGAATGCTTAGGACAAAGCGGTGATCGACTACAATTACGTCGGAATAACCACCTTGGTTTCTGGTTCCGTCAGAGGAACGAGAGTTGTATGTGAAAACGACTTCAGGACAATAGTTTTCTAAGTCTTGGTTACATGATTCACATGATTCGCATGAACCGATTATTACGCCTACTCCTACTCGGTCTCCTTCTTTAAACTTTGTCACATTCTTACCAACTTTTGTAGCTATTCCAACGATTTCATGCCTATCAAATTAACAAAATTAGCCCAAGGAAAATATATAGTTGTTAGAAATTGAAACTGCTAAGCCCTAATCATGCGGAGAGGGCTAACGCCTAGCCAATATAATTTTTTTTCGTACATTAGAAGTCTTTTTGATAAATCTAAAAATTCAAACTATAATGTTAAATAATTTTAATATATTATACATGTATTTTTAATTTTAAATATAATTAATTTTAAAATCCAAACGTTAAACATTTCTTATTCTATAAATGTAATAAAATCTCCAGGATATTTTTCTTTATTTGAAGTTCACAAAATAAGATCTCCTATATACAAAATTGGGAAATAAGAATATTTGGGATCATGAATAAGAGAAATGGTAAGTAATGAGAATACCCGGGAACAACGGGGTAACGAGAGATTCCCCAGTGGTTTTTGATGGTGTGAAGATCAGAGTGACAAACACCACAGAAAAAGATTTTCACTGTTACATCGTTCTCACAATTTTCTCTGCAATAATATGACACCAAAACATACAAAAGTTGTGAAAGCGAATCAATAAGTGTCAAAAGAAAAAAGAAAGGAACCTTCTAGAGAAATGAAATGGAGAGAGGACGCCAGATTCGTCGTTGGCCGCCCAACCAAATGCTTTATTTCGATCAACCATATTTGTTTCTGTCTCTTTCTGTGAACGATTCGGTTATGTTTTATGCCTGAATTGAGATAATAGGGGGGGGGGGGGGAGTCTAAGGGGGGTGTATTGGAACTAGGATTTTAGAAAATTTTGGGTTTTTACTAAAATCACCTGTTATTGAATTTGTGATTTTCAAATCTCTTCTCAAATCCAATGTTATTGAAATTGAGATTTCAATAAAATCACTCACAATCTCTTGTTATTCAAACTATAATTTCTAAACTTGATATCAAATCAACTGTTATTGAAAACACAACTTTGTTTTTTTAAAAAAGCCATAACATTGATTTTGGGAGACTTTGGATACAATTTTACATGAGAAATTCAATTAAAGAAATCACACCTTGAGAGGTGTTATTTGGAAAAAACTTCTTTTAACAAAATAAACATAAGAGAAGTTGTCCTTTCACTTTCTCATTCTCATCGTCAAAAGTCAAAACAAATCTGTCACCTTTTTTTTGTTCTTCACTTGCAGAAAAAAACAAAAGATTTCAATGGCAAATCAAATTCATTACCAACAAAATCTCTCTCAGTTTCAAGTTTTTAATTTGAAGTCCTAATACAAAAACATAAACTTTTTTATAACCACAACACACCATGATTTCTTTATCTTTTACCACAAACAACGTTGAACGTGTTTTGGAACGTGTTGCAGAAAGAATCCAATTTTTCTATTTTTTTGTAAAGCAACGTTGCAAAGAGATCCCAAATTTTCTAGACAATGTTGGAGATAAGTTTTTTTTGTAAATCCAGTTTTCCTATTTTTGTTTTAAAAATCTCACCAAATCATCCAATATTATCTCTTAAATCTCACCAAATAACAAACTAGTATTTCCTTTTCTAAAATGAAAATTCTAACAATTCCACCAAAAGTATCCTAAAAAATCACATAACTTTCTCAAAATCCAAAATTTCCTAAATTCCACCAAATCCACCCAAATCTTTAATTCAATACACCCCCCTAAATGGTAACACAAGTGTAATGGAATTTTAGTGGGCAAAATTATGTCACATCATTTGAAGATTAGGAATTGAAGGATTTGTGGATGTAATTTAAAGAATTGTTGAAATTTTAAAAGTTTCTATGGTGGGTGATTTCTTTTTATATCTGCACTACATATTACCATGACTAGATAAATTTATAAATACAAATAAAAAATTTATTTGATATTATATTAATATAATATGAATATATTTATTGTAAATACAATATATATAATTAAAAACAGAAAATTTTATTTAAAAATAGAAAATTCTAATAACTTTCTGTTTGTTTTGTGTGGATATACTAAAATTGGTTCAGTTTGGTTCAATTTCGATATTTGGTTTTCTAATTAATGAAAGTATGAAACCAATTGCTCTATAAACAAATCTTGGTTTGGTGTTAATGTAATAATATCAGTTTGGTTCACCTTGAGTGTTTTTGTTATATTTTTTTCTTTGCCAAATTAACCCCTTGTTTTAGTCAGTATTAAATAGTTAATACACGCATATATTTTCATATTCACAAAATATGGTGCATGTTTAGTGTTTACTGATAGCAAGGGGTTTCATAAAATAGCTTTTGTAGTTATTGAAATAATTTATATCATTGCTCTTGTATTTTTTCTTTTTCAATTTCTTTGCAAACATCATCCGAATACAAACAATAAATTTACTACAATGAAGCTTAAAAATTAAAGTGCACACATACAGGGACTTAAAGCCCAGTTTTCTATCTATGATACGCTTAAGATTTTTTGTTCAACTTATTTCATATCTTCATAAACTGAAATGCATTAAACAAACTATATTTATAAACGGTGTAAAACGTCAAACGATGTAAATTATGTTGATAACTAATAAGATATTATTGGTGTGAGATAAATAAAGAAAAATGTTATTTTTCACCAGTAAAAAGTTACTAAATAATAACAGTAATGAATATTTGACACTATAAATACACACAGAAATTCTCATTGGTGGCATAAAACAAAGAAAACCAATTAAGAAAATTATCAAAATATTTTAAAATGGAGAATAAAACTATTTTCATGATATTTTCTTTAATCATGGTTTTGCTATCGTTTTCTCATCCAACTTTGGCTATAGAAGGCGATAATGACGAGTCACCACTCATTTCAGACGACGAGTTTGATGCGACGATTGCAATGTCACCGACATCGAACGATTATAACGTCAATATGTATCGTAAGTATTCAAAAAAACAAAAAGATTATCTTAAGAACTGCAGTAAAAAGATGGACGTCCCATACCAATGTGCCGAAGAAGTGTTAGCTGAAATTCTTCTGAACAAAAGTGCTTCAAGAGATTGTTGTCGGGGGATAGTGAAAGCTGGAAAAGAATGTCACATGGAATTTATGAACTTATTTTTTCAAGTCTATCAACTCAAACATTTTTCTTCTAAAAGGTTTTCTAAAGCTAATGCAATATGGAACAGATGTTCTACTGAAATTGGAGCTGTTTCACCCTTTTCTGGTTAAAAAATGTAACTAATTTTATTATGTGGACAATAATATATATATTATTTCCGATTTTTCTTTTGTTTGATTTAGTTTTTTCTTTTGTCAACATGGAATCATTATACCAACAATTTGATATGACACGAAATGCCCAGCCGTGATAAATCTTAGGTCATATAAAGATTATCACTATAATTATTTGTAAAAACTATGTGTGTACTAGAGAATCAATATAAGAGACTAGTGTGTTAAAAGTAAAAGAAAGTAACCTTCTAGAGAAATGAAACGGAGAGAGGACGTCGGAGTCATCGTTGTTCGTTGGCCGCCCAACCAAATGCTTTATTTTGATTTGTCATATTTGTTTCTTGATAAATTGATGAGAGTAAAGAACACAAAAGTGTTTAGGAAGAATTATAATAGACTCTCATAAGAATAATTGTATAAAATACATTATCTTATATAGAGATGAGATTGATATAAGTTTCCTAATTTAAAATAAATATAAATGTAAATAATATATTTAGAGATAATGTTAAACTTCCTAAACTTAAGATATGATAACTTCTAGATCCTTCTCGATCTTCATGATTTCCATAATCTTGGGCTTTTCATCTCGACCGTCGATCTTGGTCGATCTCCGGTTCCTCCAATACCCTCCGACAAGCTCATACGTGGTAACACGTGTGAGATTGGACAAGTCTTCAGAATAGCGGCTTTTATATCCGGCCGTCGGGTCATCATCGACGTTTATACCCGATTGTAGGGTTCAAAGCGGCTACAATACCCAACCGTTAGGTCATCGACGTTTATACCCGATCGTAGGATTCAAGTAATAGAAAATAACACCCGCGATTGCGAGGTTCGGATGTAGCTCGTGATGGCGAGACTAAAAAAAAAAACAACTCACGAGGGCGAGAAGTTTAACCAAAAGGAGATGTCAAACTCGCGAGGGCGAGAAAAGCATCATTGTTACCGAAACTGAACAAAACCACTAGATTCATGTTCATGATCAAGTGTCTTGTTCTTCAAAAAAACTAGCAACTTTGCTAGAAAATCAATGTAGCCAATCAATGACCGGTATAAACACATGACAATCCACCAAGAGGAGAGGATCACGTCTCTTTCTTCTTCTTCTTCTCTTTTTTTTTTTTGGTTTTTTTTTTTTCTATTTTGTAGTAGCGGAAGCAAACAAAACCTTACCTCATAGGAATAGAATCAAGACTCTGATACCATGATAAGTTTGGAGGAAACCTTAAAAGTGGAATAGTTTCTCTCAATTTATTCATTAGCCAATAGGCTTATTTATACAAAGATATTACTTGCATAGCAAGTTCTTTACATTTATAATAATAGTAAATCTACCTATTTAACAATAAAAAGATATACACAAATGTTAACTTTCCTAATAATAATAAGGAAATATATTCAACTCGATCTCGTAATCCCGAGATCTCTCATCCACCGTCGATCTTCCGATCTTTCGTTGGCCGCCCAACCAAATGCTTTATTTTGATCTGTCATATTTGTTTCTCTCTGTTTCTATGAACGAATCGGTAAAAATATGTCACATCATTTGAAGATGAGGAATTGAAGGATTTGTGAATGTAATTTAAAGAACTGTTGAAATAATTAAAAGTTTCTACGCTGGGTGATTTTCTTTTTATATTTGCACTGCATATTACCATGACTAGATAAATTTATAAATAAAAATAAAGATTTTAGTTTATATTATATTTATCTAATATGAATATATTTATTGTAAATACAGTATATATATATAATTAAAAACAAATTTTTTTAATTTAAATAATATAAAGGGAGATTGACAAAAATAGCACTAAAATAAATTTTTCTTCCAAAAATAGCACTACATTTGAAAAGTTCCACAAATAGCACTATAAACTTTAATTAAATATGAATAATTAGTTCAATTAAAATAAATAAATAAATAAAATTAGAAATTTCCCGCCAAAATTTATTTTTCCCGCCAAAAAATTTCCGCAACGTAAAAATATTTTCCCACCAAAATTTTCCCGTCAAAATTTTTTTTTCAACATTTTCCCGCAAAAAAAATCCGGTCTAATTTTTCCCACCAAAAAAATCCACGAAATTCAGGAAGGATATCAATAAATTCAGGAAGGATTCCTTGAATTTCAGGAAATGAGTCCTGGAAGGATTGCACGAAATTTAGGAAGGATTCAATGAAACTCATGAAGGATTCCACGTAATTAGGAAGGATTTCATGAATTCATGAATTTCAGGAAGGATTCCACGTAATTCAGGAATGGTTTCACGAATCGTGAAAGCCTTCCTAAATTACATAAAATTTTTTCTAAATTTCGTGGAATCCTTCCTGAATTTCTTGGATTTTTTTTGCGGAAAAAGCGGACGGAATTATTTTTGGCGGGAAAATTTTGACGATAATTTTTTTTTTCGGGAGCGGAAAATATTTTGGCGGAAAATTTTGACGGAAATTTTTTTTGTGGGAAAATTTTGACTGGATTTTGTTTTGGCTGGAAAATATTAACGATGAATTTGTGATTTTTGTATCTATTTATAATTATTTATTAATTTAAAAAATAAAAAATAAGGTGCTATTTTTATCCAATAAACTTTTGAGTGCTATTCTTGTCCCAAAAACTTGATTTGGGGCTATAAGTGGCAATTTCTCTAATATAAAATTCTAATAACTTTCTGTTTGTTTGGTTTAGATACACTAAAATTGGTTCAATTCGGTTCAATTTTGATTTTTGGTTTTCTAATTAATGAAGGTATGAAACCAATCTCTATAAACAAATCTTGGTTTGGTGTTAGTGTAATATCAGCTTGGTTCACCTTGGCTGTTTTTGTTATGTTTTTTCTCCTTACCAAACTAACCCCTTGTTTTAGTGATCCGTATTAAATAGATAATACACCCATATATTTTCATATTTACAAAAAATGGTGCATGTTTAGTGTTTACTGATAGCAAGGGGTTTCATAAAATAGGTTTGGTAGAGTTATTTGAAATAATTTATTTCATTGCTCTTGTATTTTTTTTTCTTCAATTTCTTTGCAAACTTCATCCGAATGCAAACAGTAAATTTACTACAATGAAGCTTAAAAATTAAAATGCACATATAGAGGGACTTAAAGCCCAGTTTTCTATCTATGACACACTTAAGATTTTTTATTCAACTTATTTCATATTTTCATAAACTGAAATACATTAAACGAAATATATTTATAAACGGTGTAAAACGTCAAACGATGTAAATTATGTTGATAACTAATAAGATATTGTTGGTGAGAGATAAAGAAAGAAAAATGTTATTTTTCACCAATAAGAAGTTACTAAATAATAACATTAATGAACATTCGACACTATAAATACACACAGAAATCCTCATTGGTGGCATAAAAACAAAGAATACCAATTAAGAAAACATCAAAATACTTTAAAATGGAGACTAAAACCATTTTCATGATATATTCTTTAATCATGGTTTTGCTATCGTTTTCTCATCCAACTTTGGCCATAGAAGGCGATAATGACGAGCCACTACTCATTTCAGACGACGAGTTTGATGGGATGATTGCAATGTCACCAACATCGGACGATTATAACGAAAATGTTGGTCGTAAATATTCAAAAAAACAAATAGATTATCTTAAGAATTGCAGTAAAAAGATGGACGTCCCATATCAATGTACCGTAGAAGTGTTAGCTGATATTATTCAGAACAAAAGTGTTTCAAGGGATTGTTGTCGGGGGATAGTGAGAGCTGGAAAGGAATGTCACACGGAATGGATGCGATTATTTTTTCAAATATATCAACTCAAACGTTTTAGTTCTAAGCGGTTTTCCAAAACTAATGAAATATGGAATAGATGTTCTACTGAAATTGGAGCTGTTTCACCATTTTCTCGTTAAAAAATGTAACTAACTAGATTTGAACCCGCGGTACACCGCGGGACTATAATTTTTTTTTTAAAAATCTAAATATAATTAGTTTTGTTTATTAGTAGAGAGTATAATATAATATTTCGACTTATTTTATAAATGTACCATCCATATATCTATATTAATAGTTTTGAGTATATTAATTGTGTTTTAGGTTTAAATGGGATATTTATATATACACTTAAACGACATTTGACTTTCTTCTTCTTCTTGCCTCAGTTTAGGAGAAAAATTTTTCTTGCGGTACACCGCGGAGCTATTATTTTTTAAAAAAGATTTTTCTTCCTTAAACTTCCAAATCTAGATTTTACCCCGTGGTACACCGCGGGTCGATTTTTTTATAACTAAAAAATTATTTTGCAAAGTTTTAAGTTGTATTTGTTTTGTTAATATTGTTTATTTTGTTTAGTGTTTCTGATTTATAATTAAATTTTGATTTTTAATTCTAGGATTTCATCCATAGTATATTGTTTAATATTAATATTGATCTAAACCCGTTGCACCATATAACCCCGTCCCGTAAAATTAAACATCATTTGTTATTTTTTTTGAATAATATTTTTATCCACTACGGGTCGCAGGTTCATGCGGATAAGCCCGTAGAGAGTTGCGGGTTTGCGGGTCGACCCGCCAAAAGGGAAGCTATCTTTTGAAACCCTTTGTTTTGTTTAGAAGTTTTAAGAAAATATCCCTAAAAAATAATTTGCATTATATGAAAAAAAAAAGTAGAAGAAATTGTAGTATCAACATTCCCGATTTTTACATCACTCGTTACAATTAATTTTTTTTTTTGCAGATAAAAATCAGAAGTTAACTAAGTCGAGATTTTTAAAAAAGATTGTGTAGAGATTTTTGGTAAATTGTTGAGAACATATTTGATTTCAAAATCTTTACTTAAATAGATAAGGAAAGATTTTGTAGAAACTTTTGCTAAATATATGAGAAATGAATTTCAATTAAAAATATTTACTTAAATTAAACAAATCTAAATAATTAATGCTAATGGCATGTCATTGTAAATACTTCTCAACTTCAGGATTTATTTGCTAATTGTGATCCAAAAATGTATATATAGATTTATTATTTGAACAATAATATTAATTACTTCCGATTTTTGTTTTGTTGCTTTAGTTTTTTCTTTTGCCAACAATTTGATTTGAGCTTACGTATCAAACATATGACACGAAATGGCCAGCGTGACAAGTTGTAGAAATTCTTTGGTCATATAATCACTAACATTATTTTCTTTGATTAAATATCAAATTTAAAGTGTGTATCCATGGTACATTATCTTTCTATATCTTGGCTAATATGTGGCTCTGATAAAATTTAATCATGCACTATCCCAGATAGTCTATCCATAGCTAATTCATCATAAAGTCACGAACTATCTATGGCTCCTAAAATGTAAATTTGAGTCACGGATTACATGATGTATTTATAGCTCTTTAGCCACATTTAAGCCACGATTATGGCATACGCAAAAAAATCCATGTGGCTTTGACAATTAAACTACAATTTGACTGTAAAATTTAGCGCAAATCTTATTTGCTCGTGTTAAGAAAATTTCGATATAATTTGACTTTATGAATGTGAGATTTGTAAATAAATAAAAATTTATTATGAAATAACTTTATTTTGCTGATTCTTTTCCCTTTCAAGCTATAAATATGATATGTTTGAGCAAATCCAAAATGATATGATTATGGAGAAGGGCCAGGGGGATCATAATATGATGGTGGAGGACTTTTTTTGCAACAACAAGTTCTGCCTCCATTTAAACATATTCCTCCATAACTTGTCTCGTCGCACTGTTTTTTGCACTCGGCACATGATATATTTAGATCTAAACATATGAGCATTTGGTACGAATTTGCTTGTCCTGTAATTGATATTATATATAAAAAAAGCATAACCATACATTCAAAGATCGTCCACCATCACAAATATCAGTTTTTGTATTTGAATATTATGAACCAAATGACTTACGTGAGATGAAAAGCAAGAAAATGGTTGATATCAGAAGAAAATATGTTCCATAAGCATCTGAAGATTTCTTGCTTTTCATTTTCCGTAGATATCTAACTTCTTCTCTTATAATATTTTTGTTTCCCTCTTTTTTTTTTTTCAGTTTGGTTGTAGATCATTTTTGATGTTCTTGCTTACATAAGTCTTATAAATATGATGGGTCAAACTCAACAATTAATGAAACAAAAGTCAAAACACAAATTTGTTTCCATACAATTTTATTTTGTAGTCCTAGTATGACAAATGTTGACTCAAAATAAAAAATGAGCTTTTGTCAAAATAATTTAAGTTGAGATATCTAGTACTCCTTGATAAATAAATGAGCTTTTGTCAAAATAAAATAAGTCACAAAAGTATATGTTTAGATTTCAAACATTTAATGTTTATAAAAAAAACATATTAATATTCGTTGTTTTACCGAGTTTTTAGTATTCGTTTCAACTGACTCAACGATTTAATTTAAAAATAAAATACTATTCACTATGTTCCTAAATAATATATTCTTAAATTTTTTCATATATAGTATTATAAAAATATATGAAAAGTTCACTATAAACGCATTATTTTTTGTGATTTACAGTTTTTTACAATTCTAAACCAATAGGCAATAGTATTCAACTATTTTATTTTGAAATTTACAATTCATCAATAATAATTAATAAATATTACTTAAGAAATCTAATAACTTTTCCTAGAAAATAGATTAATTAAGAAACAGATAGAATACTACTTTATTTGTTCCGAAGAAGACAAAAATATATAAATTATTGACGAATAATTCGATCAATTGTTTTATAAATTTTATTATAACGTTCCATAGAAAGAAAAAGAAATATATTAATGCTATTTTTTATTTATTACTCCCTCTGTTTCACAAAGAGTGTCATTTTAGAGTTTTGCACACAGATTAAGAAAACATTAATATCACCATCATATTTTTTCTTCTCATAAAAATATGAATTTCAACTACGGTAGTTCATCTCATATACCATTTTCTTCTTCTTCTTCTTCTTCATCTTCAGATAATGATTATTACGATGATATAGAAAAACAGGCAGCAGCTCAAATTTCTGCAAACAACAATTTTCTTATCACTCAAAGCCTACTTCACTCTGAGGGTTCTCATGGTGGATCTATTCCAGGTCATATAGTTATCAACCGTGATCGGGAAAATGCTGCTCGAAATCTTTTCAGCGATTATTTTGCTGATAATCCTTTGTTTCCTGAGTCGATGTTCCGACGAAGATTTCGGATGGGTCGTCCTTTGTTTCTGCGTATTTATGCTGCTATACAAAGACATGACAACTACTTTGTCCAACGAAGAGATGGTGTCGGTAAACTTGGGTTGTCTGGTTTACAAAAAATAACGGCTGTATTTCGAATGTTGGCATACGGTTTACCAGCGGATTCCGCCGATGAGTATATCAAAATAGGGGAGTCTACGGCTATAGAAAGTTTGAAACGATTTTGTTGTGCTGTTGTCGAGGTGTTTTCTAGCTACTATCTTCGATCACCTAATGCTAACGATGTTGCACGACTACTCCACATTGGTGAACGTCGAGGATTTCTAGGTATGTTGGGTAGTTTAGATTGTATGCATTGGAAATGGAAAAATTGCCCAACAGCCTGGGGAGGATAATATGCTGGTCGTAGTGGATCTCCTACTATTATTCTAGAGGCTGTAGCCGATTATGATCTTTGGATTTGGCATGCATATTTTGGTCTACCAGGATCTAATAATGACATTAATGTGCTAGAGGCATCTCATCTTTTTGCTAATCTAGCTGAAGGAACTGCTCCACCTGCTAATTATGTCATTAATGGAAAAAATTATAATATGGGTTATTACCTAGCTGATGGTATATATCCAAAATGGTCTACTCTTGTTCAAACAATTCACGATCCACGTGGTCCCAAAAAGAAATTATTTGCAAAGATGCAAGAAGCATGTAGAAAAGACGTGGAACGTGCATTTGGAGTATTGCAGTCAAGATTCGCAATTGTGGCTGGACCAGCACGTTTCTGGAATAAGAAAGTGTTACATGATATAATGACAACTTGTATCATAATGCATAATATGATCGTAGAGGATGAACGTGATCTTGATGCAACAATTGAAGAAAGAGCCGAGGTCTCAACTGCAGAAGTAGAAATAGCAGGTCACGATGATGCTCGTTTTCAGGAATTCTTAGCTCGACACAGGCAAATCAAAGACCGGGAAGCTCATATTGAACTTCGAAATGCTTTAATTGAGCACTTGTGGTCCGAATATACTAATTCTGATAATTAGTACAATGTAATGTATTTTCTATTATTTTTAGTTTATTGATTGTAATCTTATATTAATTAAAATAAAATAAATCAGTTTTAAAGATAATTAGTATTTATCAAACTATTAAAAATAAAGAGAATTTTAAATTTAATAATATAATAATAAAAGTTTTATTTTTGGTGTGAGATTTGGTGTTTATGGTTGGAGATAAAAAAAAAAATGGAACACCAAAACACCAAATTTGGTGTTAAAATTTGGTGTTTTGGTGCTCTATGGTTGGAGTTGCTCTAACTATATACCTAAACATAATCTGCCCAATAGTAAAACAATATGCAGAATACTAATAGTCATAAAACATAAAAAATCATTAAATTTTGCATTGAAAACCTAAAACGACACTCTTTGTGAAACAAAAATAAAACCTTAAAACGACACTCTTTATGTAACAGAGGGAGTATAAAATACTAGTAACGTAAGCTTGAAAATATTTTACAAAACAAAACTGTTTAAAATACATTCTTTCTCTAGTAGCTTTAGTATCTCACGCTAAGTGAAGAACTACTTGGACGAAGCGTTACGCACACGAACGGGTACAATGGGTATGGAATCCCACCACTCTTTCATTCTCCGGTTGCTCTGATCATTGCTCATGTATCTTCCGACACTCGATGTCATTACAAAGCAATATATTGTACCAAATATTATGAACAACTTGAATGGCACCACTGCGAAGAAGCTCGCCAACACTAGCATCGATGCCATCACCATGCTTGCATGCTACAACCAAGAGTAAGAGAGACTACACTTTCGAAATAACAAAAACAATTAATATCGCGCGGCGTGATATAAACATTATAGTTACCTTGCTAGCCTTGGAGGTATATATGGACCGCAATTTCAGGATGGTGACGTTGACATGTTGCATCAACTGATGAAGTCTTATTAAGCCATACTGAGCCGACACAATGCTCTCGGTCATTGTTTGGTCAGATTCAGTGCTCACTGTTACCGCATCTTCACTTTTTGTGTGGACCGTCTTATGTCTAGCCTGAGCCATTTTAGCCACCACCCATATTAAGCAAGCAGCTATAGCCTTACCAACCCACTCCCTGTAAGATAAGTTTAGTTTCTTGATTAATATATGTATCCATGAACTAACTCATCTGCTTTATGTTACTCTAAACTCACTTGTAGACGGTTAAAATAGTAATGGCTAGAACAAACAGTGTACGAGACGGCCTTTCCCAATAAATCACTTGTTGGAACCATGGTAATGCATCTTGCAATGGCCTCATCAACTCCTACAAGATACCTCATCATTTTCAGTTTGATACACCACAAATTAAACAACACATCATAAAAAATATCTTCTTACCATAAGAACTGCTACACTTTCACTAATCCCTTCTTCTTCGAGCTCCGCTGTCGTGGCTTTAGCCTCCTCAATAACCTTTCCCTCTTCTCTCGATTGATTCACTGCACTTTCAAGAGACGCAAGCATTTCTTCTTTATCAGTCACTTTCACCTTCTCCTTACATGTATCTTCTCCCTCTTCTTTTATCATGTCACCAAGCTGATCCATGTTCATATTCCTCAATATGGAGCTAGCACTACACGGGTTCCTTGTAGTGCCTATCTTTAGACTAATCTCTGCGAGCTCTTCAAGTACGTAGTCTCCCTTTGGGACTTCTTCAAATAAACTAAATATTAAAAACTTTTTTGGATCCGGGGGAGAGATTCTCAGCATTTCGCGGGCTGCGTGCAACCGTACTATTCCCAAGATTGTTCTTGAATGGATTTCCCATGCTTGCAAGGGAGACTCAACATTAAATTTCCTCAAGAACTTGTGCATTAATGTTATTTCCTTTATAAGCATAAGCCAGTGATCTCGTCTCGTTGAGCTTGTCATCTCTGGAAACTCTATGACAATTCCATCCTCACTAAAAATGCATCAAAAGAAAATTTATATGTCATAAGTCATACACAAATGAGGTAACATGTTACATAAATTGTGTGTTCTACAAAGCAAAATTGAATCCAAATTCAGGAAATATATATGTTGTGAATAAGTCAATTATTCACAACTTACAGTCCCCGTGGATATAAATGCAATAAAGTCATGGTCAAATTGCTACTCACTATGGCAAAATGAGAGGTTTGAAATATTAATTATCATGTTATAGTCTAATGATTGACATTGATAATTACAGTCAAACCTCTAAAAATTAATACTCGATAAATTAATAAACACTATAAATTAATAAAATTGTCCGGTCCCAAGTCGGGCCAATGTAAAATTTGACAAAATTCGATAAGATAATAAGATAATAATTTTTTTAGAATCTCTATGTAAATATATGGTCCCATTAATATCCTAAATTAATAATCATGTAAATATATATATATATATAAATAAATATATATATATATATATATTTATTTTTATATATATGTTGTTATACTAAGGTATGCTTTTAGTTATTTTTTTTATTAAATTGAATTTTCGTTAGAACATATGTCTTAACTTTTATTGAATAAAACAATTGGTCTATTGTGGTTTTAAATTATAGTGGTGTAGTATCTCTATAACTGTATCATAAAATAGTCAAGATTTTCTGTAAGTTTTTAATTTTTGAATATGCATCATTTTCATTACGATAGTCTTATAGCTGTTAAAATACGACAATTGAGGTCAATAATCATAAATTTGAATTTACGTATATCGTTTGTATAAATAAATTCATCTATAGTCTTTGTAATCTTATTGTCATAGTCTTTGTAATCCTATTGTCTAATTTATTTTCGAAAAAGTTTTTTCAAACTATTAAAATTTCAAGTCCAAAACTACAAAATTTATAAATTCATTTCTTTCTAAAATCTTAAAAATTAAAACATATCTCTTTATAAATTAATAAATATTAATTTACACTATAAATTAATATCACTATAAATTAATAAAATATCATGGTCCCAACAATATTAATTTATAAAGGTTTTACTGTATGACGTAAAACTGTAGAAGAAATAAATTAAAGTGAATCAATTTAGGTAGCTTTTTT